TGACTTACATTTGCATTTATATAAAACCTTCCACATCTCAAAGTGCTTTACCAAGATGGAGTGGGAGCCCTGGCTGGTAGGGAGATGGAGGTAAATGGCTGAATTGGGTAAAGAATGTTACAAGTCACAAAAGAGAGAAATCCCAAAGAGTAGATATTGTTTTGACGCAACAAGAAGTGACAATTACAATGTGCTTTACCCTTGTTTGCTGGTAGTCTATAGAGTTACTGTCTCTAAATTAACAGGCTACATTTCTGCTGTGGAAAAGTGTTTTTTTCATCAGCCTGGCCATCACTGCTTAGAGTTTCCAAACCCACCGTGAAAGGCATACATTTGCATTGTTGTTGTGAACTACTGAGATTCCACATATGTGTCTATGAACCCATCCAACCTCCACTTCCAACCTCCCCTTCCAACCATTGTTTACAGTTTCTATAGGAATCGACTTTGAGAAGAGAGTGGGAAGGGAAAATGACTGTACCAACACGAGTCAACCTTGCGGGTGCAAAGGAAGTGAAGAGTAATAAAGTGTCTGAATCCCGGGCCTTGACTAATGACATTCTCTAACCAGTCTGCTCTGTTGGAAGTGAAAATCCCCAAGAAACTTTTCGAAAAGGGTTGTTTCAAAAAGTGTCAACCAACGTCCTGGCCAACAATGCTCTGGATAAAACTGGTCGGTCATCTCATGGCTCTTTGTGGGATGCTGATGTGTGAAAATGGTTGCCATATTTGCCCATAAGCAATCACTACAAATGACAGAATTCACTTTGTTGTGATAAAGTGCTTTAAAAATGCAAGTTCCTCCATCGTTTGTTTTTAATCTTCAATTAATGGAACATGAAATACTATTGTCTGCTTCTATTGGACAGTGGATTTGCACTGTAAGTGACTCTTCCCAGCACACTGTCTCTGGAGGAAGGTGAATAGTTTCAGGTAAAACCCTAAAAGGAAAGCTCTGTAGGATTTCTTCCTGACTTCTATTAGCAATTAAGCTAAAACTTCAGTACATCAATATAACATCATATAACATCACTCAACCTTGGGTACATTCATTCAAAACTAAATTCAGCCAAAGTGTTCTGTACAAGAGAGATTTGGTTAAAGAAAACTCTGGTTCATTTGTTATCATTCAGAATGTCAACTGTCCTGTGTTCCCATTCCATTATCGATTTGCACAAGAAGTCGACTTAAACATCAGGTCACAGATTAATGCTCTATAGTCAACACAGAGTTCATTATCTCAGATAGCCCATGAAAGGAAACCACAAGGGAAAGCACAAGCCCAACATCCCCAAAGAGATTGGGACCAAATGATAAAAGGCTCACAGCTGAAGAGCTAAACAAAAATCTGTCACAACACTTGGCAATAATTACCCGTAAAGCCACAAGCCATTGATGCTATAGGTGCTACATGAAAATCTAGAATTATTAACCTATTCAGATATTGATTGACTTGCTGTGGATCTTCATAGGTTCAATACACTACAGGTTTACATTTATATACTACCTTTCATGTTGGGAAAATCTCCCAAGGCTCTCAGCAATTCAGGCTTGGCACCTGAGCTGGGAGTGGAAGCTGAGGGAGGGCGGGGGGGCGCAGTAGAGAAAACATGACTAAAAGCACTGTCAAATAGATAGGTCTTGAGATGAACCTTAAACGAGGTGAGAGAGGGAGTGAGGCAGATAGGCTGAAAGCCTGGGCGCCGCCGATGGGGCCAGTAGGGCGGGATACATGAAGCAAGCTGGTGCCTGCTGAATGAAGGGAGTGTCTCTGTCTGTACCGGTTCAGTTTAAATTTGAGATCAGGACCTTGCTGTGAGACAAATTTATAATATATAATAATCCTTGCATTTGATATAGTACCTTATCACATCTTCGAGACGTCTCAAAGCGCTTCACAGAATATACTATAAAGTGAATTGACTGTATATTTTGTGGGCAAAACAAATAATGGCCATCTGACTATATGCTTATGGTAAAGTATGTGAATAGATGAATTGACTGCATTGCCTGTCTGCCTTTCAGAATTACAGCCTGTTTCACATTACATTTTTGCACAGTTTCAACCTTGTGCTCCTGTAACTCTCCAAGCAATAAGGAAAGTGGTACTTGTAGCCCAATCTGGGCAGAAGATACATTACAGAGAGCGATCATTTTTTAAGCACCATGCTAAATCTGTGCTCATTCGATATCATTACATCTTTATGTCTTCAACAGGCTCACTTTTTGCTGGATTGTTGTGTTCACAGTCAGCTTCCAGTCAAGTGTCAGATGTCTAGAAATGTCTTCTCAGGGAAAATTGCTGAAATACAATCACCTCTCATTACACATACTCTGCTACACCAATGATCACTGATACAACTTCACAAAGCTTCTTCACTAATAGAGGATCCATCTGTATTACCTTCTCTAAAAGCAAGCACACCATGATTTACCATTGCTACCTGATATAATAGAATATTCTTTATAGTGCCTTCGTTGATTAAATATCTTTGTTTACCAAAATGCCCCTCATAATTACATACTACGCTTGGCTCTCAAAGTCTTCTATGGATCAGCTACTATATATTTCCAAAGTTTAGTGGTCCTTTCATACCAGAACTAATTCCCTGAAAGTCAAAGCCTCTGTCCTCTGAAAGAGACCAGGTCTCATCTGCCTGGTTTTTAATCTAGACATTAAAAAAGAATCCCACAATAGCATTTGACAAGAAAAAGGAATTTCTCCCCAGCGTCCTGGCCAACAATTCTCTAGGTGAATTGGTCAATCACCTTGGGGGATCGTGAGAACATGAATGGCTGCCACATTGACCCACAAACAAAAAAACACAGAAAGTGTGGTCGGATGTTATTAGGTGCTATAAAAAGTGCATGTTCTTTCTTGAGATCTTAAATGCTGTGCACCTCACCATTGATCGTTTTAAAAAAAAAACAACTATCAGGGATTCAAGCTGGTGATCATCCCTGAGGCACAAGTCCAAAGCTAGCATGCTGAAACATTGCAAGTAAAAAACAAGAGCAATACAGCAAAACCTTATGGCATTAATACAGCCCATTGACAAAATAAGCCACACAACCTTTGCTCTTGCAGATAGTGATTTCCACCTCCCCTCCCTAACTGCATTCAGACTCGCAATACATTTCCAGTTCACTGCTGTTCCCTTACAAGTCATCACGCACATTCTCGCCAATTAGAAGCGCCAGACACACACAAGGTGACACAAAAGCTGAAATGCTGGGAGCCATTCTGCAATTGACAACTTCTGCAGCAGAATAAAGTATTTTCTTCTCCGTCTTGCCCTAAGCATCGTTCACCACTCAAGAATGGAGTAAAATTGATAACATATATACAGCATTAAACCTCTCTCCCACCAACCCAACCTCCCACCTGCTCCCATTTGTCACTATGAAGACAATGACAATCAGCATCCATCAGGGCCATGTAATTGTAGCCTTTTTTTTATAAAATGAACACAGTAAAAGAAATGAAACACTTTATCAATTTAATTTAACCATCTACTTTTTTAATATAAAAAAATGACTAACAGCTTGAGGCTTTCCCTGCTCTTGATTTTTTCACGGTTAACTGCCTTTGAATGCAGGCGTTCTTCTCAAAGGGAAATGCCAGCAATCCTTAAACGGTAATGATAAGGATAAGAAAATGCCAGTGCTGGGAAGAACACAATTGCAGCTTTATTTCACTGTATCAGAAAATAAAAGGTATTCCGTATTAATGAAAGGCAACGTCAATCAATACCTTGCCTTCATCTCGTCTTAGGCTTTCTTCTCCCTTGCCTTGTGCTTGAATGCCACTCTTGGACAGAAACGGGCTAGTATTATTTACACTCTCACTTTCTTTTCTTCTCTTTCCACCCCCCCCCCACCTCACAGGCACATTGACAAACCACAGTGTAAACTTTCCACCGATTTGTTGTGAGGTTAGTTTCAATCAAGATCAATCGGCATTTTGCCTACTTGGGTCAACTGAGCAACATCCAAAAAAAAAACAGACTGAAAATACACCAATGTGGTTTTTTTTAAGAAAAATGATGGTATGCTTCCAAAACAACAATAAGTCAGGTCACCATCCATTTTATCACGATAGACAGGGAAGTCTGCAAAAATTATATATATATCCAATAAGTATATTACAAAGTCTTTCCCGAAGAATGAAATCCCTTCCCTTTTTAAAATAACTGGAGCGATCTCAAGCTTTAGCTCGGAGTCAAGCCAGCAACGCAGTGTTAGAGAGGAAATAATGATTGAATCGGATTTTTTTTATTACATTAAATTGCACCATTATAAAAGGACCAAAAAAAAAAAAAACCACTTGGTGTAAATGTTGACAGGGATTAGGTTTTTTTCTCTGATTTCTCACCAGCCAGAAATCTTTCTACTGGCATGCAATTACAAGCGGAATTACTTCTCTCCTCTCTTCTCTCTATCCCCTCCTCTGTCTCTGTCTCTGAGAGACCAACGGATCAATTTTTACATGTCAATTTCACAACACCCCCCCCCCCAAAAAAAAAAAACCCACAACAGATCAGAAATTGCTGCTCAGTTCAGTCCATGTAAGGATGAGTATCCTGGCCACCGATTAAGTGTAAAGAAACATGACCAGGACAACTCGAGCTTCTGTTTTGCACACAAGACACACACAGACAAATATATAAAATATATGTGAACTCCAAATAAATATATATGCATAGATAGACAAAAACACGGGGCTTCAATCCCTTGTAATATTCACAGATAGAAGCAAGAAAGAGCGCAACACTTGAACTTAACACACTGTATACTGTACCCTGGAGATGCTTTTTTTTTTGTTGGCGTGTTGCCCTCTTAAGGCTTAACGAAGGCATCGGAGAAGTCAGGAAACAGGAAGATTTTTGGGGTGTTGTGGAGTGAGGGGAAAGAGGGGAGAGAGAGAGAGAGAGAGAGAGGGGAGGGAGGGAGTGGGGTGGTGGGGTGGTGGGGGGGGATGGAGTAGTTTACCCACTTACCAGGGAATTCCGCATTAGTGTTTTCCTTCGGGCTCTCAATGCAATTCTCCAAATAAGTGCTCCCTTTCCAACACCTGTCTCCCTTTTTGTTTAGCCCCAACATCTCAGTGGACTGATCCACGACCTCCCCGGCCAAGCAGAAGCAAGGGGTCTGCATGATGCCGCAGGGTCGGGAGCTGGTGCTGATGGCCAGGCAGGTCTCCAGCCACTTGCAGAGCATCTGACAGGCTCCTTTGCTGGGGTTCCTGTTCCCCACCACCAGATATTCCGCAGAGAACTCCCGATCCTTGGCTCGGTTGCCCCCCCTGCCCCTGCCCCTGGCCACGCCGCCGCCGGGCGCCGGGGCGCTCTGCTTCATTTGCAGGTACTGCTTGTTGGACTGCAGGAAGGCGTAGCGAGTGGAGGTGTCGCACAGCTTCAGGACCTCGTCGAAGCTCTCCATCCCCAGGTAGGTGCGGGTGCTCTCCAGGAAGGAGTCGAACTGGGAAGTGCGGACCAGGTGCCGGTCGCAGGCGTGGCCGTTCTTGGCCACTTTCATGTACAGGGTGTATCTCCTGGGGTCCGGGTTCTGGATAATCCACGAGCAGGCGGCGGAGTGGTTGGAGGGGAAGACGACCGAAGAGGCGAAGTAGCCGAATAGTTTCCCCTGGACCAGAGTGGTGCAGGGGCTTTGCCCGATGTCGAAGGCGTCGGCAGTCCACAGGAGAGTGGTGAATATCAGGATCACCGCGTTTACACTGATCCTCATCCTAGGTCAGTCGTCCCAAGCAACGCGAAGGAAACAGCAGCAAGAGCCCAGACCTTGGACATAACAGGATCCAGAGTTGGGAGGAAAGGGAAGCCGGAGGCTGATCTCAATCTACTGGATGTAGCTCTGTCCTCGCGCTCCCCCCTGTGGCAACATCTCTTTCCTGGAAATGATTTAACAAAAACCAAAAGAAAACCATCCTGTAAATGTTTCTGGTAACCTTTCCCCCTCCTCCCCCCCACCCCCTTTCCCCCCTCCCTCCACCCCCCCAAAACACACACACACACACCGCAGGAGCAAAATTGCATGCTGCAAATTGGCTGACAGACGCACAGTCACTACACTTCGCAGCACTGCACTTCTAATCCTGCGCCTTTGAAGTGTTTGCTTCAACGTCCGTGGTAATCAAAGGCGAGGATTTATTATTACTGTATTAAATAGATTGAGGTCTCTTTCTTCAACCTCTATTTTCAAATGCTATGCATTTAAAATGTCACGTCTGTCAATTCCCGGGCGTTTAGATGTTAATGGCAATTTACCAGCAATTCAAATCGGAACGATTTAAATAGTCAGATTTTAAACATATCTCACGCACAGATCGTTGCTTCTCCTGATAAAAAAAAGCTATTTAAACAAACGTCGTATATACTCTATTATCTATACACAAGTCTATCTTTGCAACATTTTTGTCGCAAGTTTTAATTACGTATATCTTTATATTATGATCCCGAAGAAGACTTTCTTTCGGTCATACAAATACTGTTCAGCGAATTATTTCTAACTTTATCCGCACGTGTGGTGCATATCGAAGATGTGGGTTGGCTCATTGTTTCTCGGTTGATGCATCGCCTGCACTGACAGTACTCGTTTCTTCTTAAATAAAATGTTCTTTTCTCTCTCTCTCTCTCTCTCTCACACACACACACACACTATCTCCAATTGGATGCAATCAAGATACATCTGCAGCAAACACCGTGGGTAAGAAGCACATCCCCACACACAAGAAAAAAATCGTTCATCAAATGAATGGAGTAAGGCAACTGGTCGCAAAACTCAAAGAATGTGGTTGCTGATGCTAACTAACGGGCAGATCCACCTCGCACGCTGTCTCCCTCTCTCTGCTCGTTGTTTCTGGTCGGATTACCCCCTCCCCAACTGTGACAGTTGCAGTTTGATCTTATTTTCTCTTGCGCGCCGCTCTATTAAATCTCTTCCCGAGGGATTGAATAACCTCTGCACAAGAGAGAGCAGCGACTGACAGCACCGGGTGGGGGTCTGAGCCAAGTTGCATCCCTACGTTTTGACTCTCTCGCAAAGCAAACCTTTGGATTGGAAAACATTTCACAATGACGTTGGGAGCACCGAGGAGGGGGAAGAGTTAACGGCGACTTATTCGGAGAGAGTCAAAGCCCAGTTCGCTGCCTCCTGGTTCCTCGTGGTTTATGGTAAAGTCCAGTTTGCAGCTGCATCTCATCGGGAGCGGCGCCTGGACCGGTGTTATAGCGCAGTGAGTTCCTGCACCATTTCAACGCGGACTCAGCCTCTCCTGGGCACTAAAGGGTTAAACCTGACATTGTACCTTCAGAATTTGTCAAGAGCGGTGTTTTTTTTCTTCTACCCTCCTCCCCCTCTCTCAAACACACACACACACACCACCACCACCAAAACAAAACCTCCTTAAACTGTCCCAACGCTTCCCAACCAATTCGCCTACAAATACACAGTCACTACACTTGGCAGCAATTACAATGGGAAGCGCAGCATCAAATGCGAGAGTCGTTATCCTTTGGTGTTTATTTCCCGAAAAGGTACAGAAACGCAGGGAAGATCCATCCGAGTTTCGTTCTTGCAAAACTGATCTTTTTTTTTCCGAGGCTGATGTGCCCCCAAAAAATAAACGATCTTTGTCCCTCTGTATATCCCGTGACAGTGCGGCTTATACTGGTGCCATAAATGTGCGTCTCCTTCGAATGAGTGTGTCTGTGTGTGTGTGTTTCCCTCTCTCTGATTTAATGTGTAGCAAGCCAAGAAACATTAACCCGTTGATGGCTGCTTCTCAAACACACACACTCGCCATCACGTCTTCCAACCTGTTGCTGTTTTCCACCTTTGTTTCTCTTTTCCCCCTTTTCTCTCCTTCCCTTCCCACTTTCTTTTTCTCTCCCCCTCTCTTTATCATCCTCTTCCCCCTCCTTTCTCCCCCCCCTCCCTTTCTCTACCGCCCCCTCCTTTCTCTCCCTCCTTTCTCTCCCCTCTCTCCTGCCCCCCTTCGCACATTGCACATTGCCAACATTCACACAGTGAATGGGACCAAATATAGGACGGTGATGAAACGGTACATAACCTTACCGGAGCTGGGAGAGTGAGTTTAGCCTTAAACCAAAAATAAAACACACCAAGAGTTGGGTGCTGTCGTGCAGCCGATGCTAGTGTGCCCAGAGATTCGCTTGTCAGCGAATCAGCAACGCATTTTGTCAGCTCACCGCTTCCCACTTGAGAGGCTGCTTTTCCCTCCCTGACAGTACGGTGTGGGGGCAGTTACATACAATACATACATACATATATGCTTTCTCAATGCTCAGCACCGAGAATTCAGACTCCTGCTATGTGCCAGGCTGGAAGGAAGTATTTTCTCTTTTGGAGAGACAGGGGAGGATGGTGGGGTGGATGTCTGTGGTCTTGTGGATCTCTTCCACCCCCCCTTCACAAATGCACACATACCCTGGGTGGGGTAGCAGTTTTGCGTCCGATAAAACGGTGTCAAATGATTAATACTCTGTGCAGTACACAGTGAAATCGCCCCCTCGCCCCTCCCCTGAGCTCCCTGCTCCCCTCCCCTGAGCTCCCTGCTCCCCTCCCCTGAGCTCCCTGCTCCCCTCCCCTGAGCTCCCTGCTCCCCTCCCCTGAGCTCCCTGCTCCCCTCCCCTGAGCTCCCTGCTCCCCTCCCCTGAGCTCCCTGCTCCCCTCCCCTGAGCTCCCTGCTCCCCTCCCCTGAGCTCCCTGCTCCCCTCCCCTGAGCTCCCTGCTCCCCTCCCCGCTCAACTAAATCAATGCATCTCCCAATCTTGTCTGTATCTCTGTAGGATTGTTTGGTTATTTGTACTGTAGTAACCAGTCGCTGCTGCTCGCACCCCCCACCCCCCCCCCCCCCCCACAAAATTTACGTTTAAAAATCCAAAGACCGTATAACATCCATCCTTATCAGATAACCCCCTCTCTATCTCTCCCTCCTCTCGTATCCAGTGTCATTGTGAACGATTCTCCTGCGGTTAGTGGTGCTGATCTGTCGGAATCGACCACCTCTCACTCAGGTTGAGCACCGAAAGCTGCCTCCAGCTTATATATATATATATATATGTGTGTGTGTGTGTGTTACAGATGTGTATGATTAGTTCACAGCTCTGTCCGGGCGGGTGGGCGCTGACTGCACTGCACTGACCTGTCTATCAGACACCTCGTGGCGCGGTCCAGAGAGACGCGAAACAAGGCTTTAAATGCACAGGTTCCCATTCGGCGCCGCTTCGCTTCCCACTGCGCCAGAGATCTGCTCACAGCAGCGGGTGGGCACAGGCAGCAGCACTGCAGCTCGCCATCCAGGCAACCAAGTAATCCTCTGCCCAGTTTATACAGCCACAAGCACAGCACCCCCCACCCCCCCCCCCCCCTCCCCCACCCTCTGATATAATCTCCTCTTAAGCACACACGAGGGAGAGGGGGGGATTCCTGGGCTCAGGATAACATGTTGAGTTGCTCTCCCTCTCACCCACGTTATACTTATTCCCGTTTATTTCGTTTCAACACAAACAGCAGCAACGAGTCTCGCCCGTCTGGCGCAGTTCTTGCGCTTAAGAGCGAGTCGGGTGGCAAAGGGGGTGTGTGGGGGGGATCCCACCTAGTTATCTATCTATCTATCTATCTATCTATCTATCTATCTATCTATCTATCTATCTATCTATCTATCTATCTATCTATCTATCTATCTATCTATCTATCTATCTATCTATCTATCTATCTATCTATCTATCTATCTATCTATCTATCTATCTATCTATCTATATATCTATCTATCTATCTATCTATCTATCTATCTATCTATCTATCTATCTATCTATCTATCTATCTATCTATCTATCTATCTATCTATCTATCTATCTATCTATCTATTATTATCCGTCCATTTATTATAAATTCCGAAATAAACAGAGTCAAGAAACAGATAATTCCAACACCCAGGTACAGGCGCAACTTGCTCGATTTTTTTTTGGGGGGGGGGGTGGGGGGCAAAAAAAAAAGTTTGCAAAGGAATGGAACAAATCTGCTCCCAATAAAGGTTCGCCTGGACTCTGGGAGAGAGGGACTGACTGACTGCTTTGCTATTCAAACGGATGATCGTCGCGCACAGATGGGACGCCCACGTTTACAGACAGGTGTCAGGGAAATTTGTTGGGGAAGAGTCGATGGTGTTTCCATCAGCGAACCGACACCGGACGTGTGTGTGTGTGTCTGTGTGTGTGTTTTTTTAACCCTCCGGGCGCTGGATCCATTGGTTGTTTCGGAGCAGATTTGGAGACAGACACAGAGAGAGAGAGAGAGAGAGGGGAGGGAGGGAGGGAGGGAGAGAGAGACAGGGAGGGAAGGGAAGGAGGGAGAGAGAGAGAGAGAGGGAGGGAAGGAGAGAGAGACACAGAGAGGGAAGGGAGGGAGAGAGAGAGACAGGGAGGGAAGGGAGGGAGGGAGAGAGAGAGAGGGGTAGGGAAGGGAGGGAGAGAGAGACACAGAGAGGGAAGGGAGGGAGAGAGAGAGACAGGGAGGGAAGGAGGAGGGAGAGAGAGAGAGGGGTAGGGAGGAGGGAGAGAGAGACACAGAGAGGGAGGGAGGGAGAGAGAGACAGGGAGGGAGGGAGAGAGAGAGAGACACAGAGAGGGAAGGGAGGGAGAGAGAGAGAGATAGGGAGGGAGGGAGAGAGAGAGAGAGATAGGGAGGGAGGGAGAGAGGGAGGG